AAACACATTCCTGAGGCCCGCTGAAGTGGAGTCACCTCCAAGGCACATCAGGACTGAGTGGAGAGTGTGCAGGCAGACTTACAACTCTGGTGAGAAGGCTGGTGAGGGGCAGCCCCTGAGCGCACAGAGCGGTGAGGAGGTGGTGAGGATGTATGATGGGTAAGCCTCCTGAGCCACATAGGACCCCAAGAATGAACCTGTAACTCGGAGGTGCAATGCCTGCCTAGCATTCCAGTGCCCTGACTAGATCCTGGCAGCACCAGGCAGTAGACGGAGCATGAAATGGGAAATCTGCTTTGTACCAGAGACCTGACGTGTTCCCGGCCAGGAGGCTCAGTGTGAGGCAGGTAGGGCGGAGGCCACCGAGGGTGTAAGAAGGGGCCCATGTGTCATCCAACAGTGAATCAGCGGCTGTGACTAGAACTCCCCCCCCCCCCCCCACACACACACCACAATGAGCAACCAGGGCAGGCCGCAGCTGCAGCTGGGTTTAGGATTAGAAGCTGTGCCAGCAGGACAGCGAGGTCACTGAAGGACATGGATACTAGCTGGGACGGATGCGGGGCCTGGTACAAACCCTTGTGGGTAAAGTGATTTCTACGAGGTTCTCAGTTTCATCAAATGCTCCCGTCAGAGAGCATGGAGGGAGAAACAGTGGAGGTTGCTGGGGTACCCTGCTGCCAGGGTGGGGGTCACATGGCCTGCACTGTGATGGCCGCTCTGACACCTGGAGGGCTGGCTGGCTCCTGGAGGCAGTGTGCAGAGGCCCTTCTTCCTCCACCATCCTTTCTCCGCACTTCCCCACCTCAGGCCATCCTTGTGCCCACAGCGAGCTGGAAACTTACGTTTTCCTCACCTGAGAAAAGTAGGGAGGGACGACTGAGCTCTGTGACCTCTGACCCCATGACTAGGAGCCTGTGATCGGGCTGGGTGACTCAACCTCATGGAAACCGGAAGGCACATGGAGCTAGGAAGGGACCACGGAGGTCAGGTTATATACTTCAAAGGCACAGTCCCAGTGACCTCCTTCCTCCGCCTAACGGCCATTCAGCTGAGAACTCGTCCCTGAGTTAACCCATTGGTGAAGTCACCCTCACGTGACAGTTACCTCAGAGCGTGCTGTGGGACCAAGCCTCCAGGGCAAGAGCCTATAGGGACATGTCACATCCAAACACAACAGACAAGTCTAGGGTGTGAATGAGAAGTGTGGGGGGGGGGGGTCCTGGCGGGTCTGTGAAAGGATCCGCCCTGAGGTCTCTCCCACGCCCAGGCGGTAGCAGAGTGAGAGCTCATGTTGGTGGAGCCTGAACATGGCTGCTGGAGGACCTTGGAGATCCCCTTGGAACAATGCTGAGATATTCCACTTGGATGATCTGTGTGCCCAGCACAGCCAGAACTGAGGGTCTGGAGGCCTAGCAAGTCCCTGGTAGGCAGGCCTAAGCTTCTGACCCAATCAGGGTGTTGGGTCCTTAGCCTCACCACATCCTCATTCTGGAACAGTGGAGAGGCAACAAAGTCATCCCTACTCACTGGCAATGGACTACGCCCCTTTCGGGCCCTGGTCTCCAGACCTTACTCATGAGTCTGATGGACATGCCTTCCCCCAGAGTGTCTTGCCTGGGCTATGTGAACAAGTGACTCAAGAAATCAGCAAAGCCATTGCTTTCGGCACCCCACCATAGCTGGGGCTTATCCCTGTGCCTAAGGTCAGGTCCTGATCGAGACCGGCACCTGTGTGATATCTCACCATCTCTGCCCCTTGGAAGGATGATCACTGGCACACTTGAGTGCTGGGCAGTCTGGCAGCATCACCATGTGCTGGCACTAGGCATTCTGAGCACCTGTACACATTCAAGCCCACATGAGGAAGACGGGCGAAGGGTGGCGTGGGATACCCAGCATCTACGAGAATGGGCTGTTCTAAGCTGGAGTCTGCGTGGTGAGGCCAGTTTGAAAGTGCTCATTCTGTCTCCACACATGAAACCAGCCCCTTTACGGTGTTGCTCACACTGCCCAGGAAGATGTGGATGGAGAAGGTACTAGTTAGAGCATACTCCATCCCGAGAGCCTCAGAGCTTCATTCAGGATTCCAGTGCCAAGCAGCGGCCCTCAGGCATCCAGAGGTCTGTTACTGCTTTGAAGTCTGAGAGCTTTGCACCCCATGCCTGTCCTCTAGCCGAGCAGAGTAGCCATGCGCTGGGCTGGTTGTCTGTGAGAGCCCAAGCGGGACAGCTAGGAAAGTTAACAGTGCCCTCCCCAGCCGGGAGAGAAGTCAGGCAATGCCACCACACCCTCCTGCCCTGTCAGGCTGCATGGGGAAATAACTGTTAGGTGCAGCGGGGCGGGCGAGATTAGATCCTCATTAAGGCAGTGATAATGATGCATGTAATCGTAATTGGATGCGCATTGTGCCCACAGTCAGTGCTCTCCATTCCTGCTCTGAATCTGGGTGCCCCCCCCACTGCAGTCTCCAGCCTCCACGTCCCATATTCTGTGCCTCCAAATTTCCCTTCTACATGGTCACCAGTCATTGGCTGAACATCCAACCTAATCCAGTGTGACCACTAATTTCATCTCAACCACCTCATTCTAAATAAGGCCATATGCACATGCTCACGGTATCAACATGGAGACATCGTTTGGGGATTTATTTAACCCTAGGACACTGTGCCAGTGAACACAGGGGTCTGACATGCTGTCCTCTATCTCATGCCCTGTCCCGAGGCCTCACCACGCCTGCTGCCACAAAAGGCCATCCTGGGGTAGGGACACCTTATCCTTGTGACTGAAGCCCTTGCAGGGTGGCCCAGGAGCTCCAGGTACTGCAGGCTAATCTGGACGGATCCAGTACAATCCTTCGCTGCTGGTCTCAGCTGTGCCCCAACAACAGCCCAGGTGTGTTCTCTTCCCACTCAGTGAGGAGGCTGCTCACTCCAGGTGGCCCGTCCTGAACTACTCTGTCCCTACAAGTCCCTTGTTTGGAAGGAAACCATTGCCCAAGTTCTGCAGGGATGGGGCCTAGGCTTCCCATGGCCGTGGACTCCAGTGTTCTAATCACAGGCCACCTTCTTATCAGGACACCAGACAAGAGGCAGAGTCCCAATCCTGCCTGTCCTCATCTTACTTAACTGTGATATTTGGAAGGACCTGATTACAAAACAGACAAACAGACGAACAACAACAAAACCCTGACATTCAGGAACACCATTGGGGGTGGAAGACAGATATCTAGAATTCATTTTGCTCCTCTAGTTCCATCAATAGCCAGATCCAAACTTCACATTCTGAACGGGTGAACAGTGGGACATTATTGCAATAAGGAGACAGATGTGGTGCCAGCCACTGTCTGTCCTCTGCTGCTTCCCTGGCTGGAGTCTGTACTTGGCAGGGAGACACTCTGTGTGTGGATAAGGCCATGCCACAGGAATGCAGGGCAGCACTGATGGCCTGGGGCAGCCGATGGAGGGGTTCACTGTCAGCTTAGCCTGCACCTACTGGTTCCCTGGGGTAGTGGATGTGGGATTCAAGGTAGGGCAAGATCCTGGAGGCTTCTGGAAAGCCTGGTTTAGCAGGTACTGGCCACACCCTCAGGCTCCCTCCCTTCACACAGAGCAAAAGAGAACAATCTTACACAACAGACGCCCTGGCAGAGGCACACTGGGAAGTCAGGATTGGGCTCAGCAAGTGTCAGAGTGCTCATGATTCACAAAAAGCACCCAGAGACGGAACATCTTGTGACCCAGATCTTGTGACAGTCTCAGGAGGCCTAGCAATCCACAAGTCCGCTGGCTTACTACAAACCCTGGGGACCTCTTCTCCCACCTCCTTCCCTTTGTCCTTGTTTTAGCAGCAGGGGCAGCATCTCCCTCACTACTGGTGGACACTTTGGCCTTGGGGTACACCGATCCACACACCAACTTGAAGCCCTGAAGGTAGTGAGCTTGAAACCAGCATCCCTTCCTCACTGGGGGGGACCTTGAGTTGGGTGAGATTGATTTTGAGCCTTGGTGGGATTATGACTTAGATCCTCAGTGGGGAGAGATGACCGAGTCAAGACTCCACCCTGTCTCACCCTTCCCTCAGGTGTAACCCACTGAGGAACGGCCTCCAAAGATGGCCATATGCTAAACCTGCAGAGATAATACCTGGCATGGCCAAGAGGTTCTAATGATGGGATTAAACTGAAGATCTCAAGAGTTAAGTAATCCTGGGCAGCTGAGTGTCATACATTAGAAGAGGCAGGAAGATTTGAGTCATGAGAGATGAAGATGTCACTTCTGTCCTCAAACATGGAGGAAGGGCTCCAAGCCAAGAATGCTTCAACATGGAAAAGGTGGTAATCTCTTGAGCCTGGCTCCTTCAGGAGGAACCAGCACTGACATCCCATCTATATACACCTGGCCTCCACAGTTTTGGATAATCAGAGGTGGCCTCTCTGGAAATCGGTGCCGCAGTCTCAGGATTCTTGTCGCCAGTTTATGTCTCTGCTCTATCCCTGTCGGCCTCTGCATGACCCCACTTTGGTGACCAATGACTAAATGGGGACTCGGGAATCTCTTTCCCAGCCCCTTCCTTGTCTTCAGGCCACTGCTGATCCGCTCCAAGGCTTCACACCTAAGGGCATGGGGGAGCTGCAGTCACAGTACCCCCAAGTTCAGCACTCAATGCCACTGTCAAATGCCAAGTGCCAGGTGGCACCAGAGCTCACTAACAACTGAGATGCTGGACCTTCAGCCAAGAACTTATCCTCAGAACCTGGCGGGGAGCAGCAGGGCGGGGCTTCCACCTCCAAGCTCCCACCCCTGTGAATCCTGCTGGAATCCTCAGGGCTGGCCCCAAGGTACCAGACAGAATCCAGAGACAGGTGAGTGAAGGGTGAGCTGTGAGCCACACAGGTGGGACCAAGCATACACTTTCCTTTGAGGGGTGTCTTAGTTGTCACCTATGTGATCAGGAACCACAAGGGGCAGGCTGGGTAGATACAATCACACGAACACAAATGCAATGAAAATATTTATTTGTGGATAATCATAGAAGTCAACAGACCAGCACAAAACAGACAGGTGCTCGAGTCTACAAACACACTAACAGGAGACAGTACATGGGGCTGAGGGACTTGGGCCAGAGACCACCTGAGCCCAGAGCGCGCCCCTCCTGCGCAGCAGGGACTGTGGGCCAGCTGTGCTTTGCTCTAGGAGCTTCCAAAAGGTCGTGGTCTCTGGGGAGGAATAGTAGGGTCGGGCTGGCCCCAGAGCAGCCCGTCTTCTGATTGGTCCAGGTTTGCAACACATGGGAGAAATTCTGACAAGGTCTGGATCAGAACTTAGGCAGCTAGGAAGCTAAGAGCACTCAGGATGTCATCCCTGCCTCATCCTTCAAGAGCTATGTTCATTTAGAATCCACCACCATCTCCTAAAATGCTGACATCACACTGCCCATCACCCAGAAATGATCTTAGCTGTACTGTGGGAACCAATCAGGTCTGAGCTTTCAGGGAATTTGGCTTCTCCCTTCCTGCTCTGTGGGATACTAGAAGGATGTGCTAAGCCTGTGGGTCTTCTAAAAGTCCTGGTATCCCTAGAGCAAACGCTCCTTATGTCAGGCATGAACCAGGTCCTTGGTGAGACTGTGGCTGAGACTTCCATCGTACCAGTCCAGGTCACAAAGGATAAAGGCTCCTCCACTTGCCTTCATGGGGGACTGTGTAGCCCTGCAAGGCAGGTAGTGAAATACGGCAATGGCCTTACACAGCATCTCAGCCTTCCCTGATGGGGTCTGCTGGCTCTATAGGATGGGCAGTGAGGCATGGTCATGGTTACACCTCAAGGCCTTCTGGGAGCTTCCAAGCATAGAAGTGTGAGTGGCAGGCTCTCACCCTCTGTTTCCCCCCACCTAAAGCTGCAGGGCAGAGGCAGCCCTAGCTATTTAAGAGCTGGCAGGGGCAGGGTGGGGCCGAGGCTTATAGGGAGACCTTTTACACCTAGAATGTGTGTCCTGTCGCAGAAAAAACAGAAACTGCCCACAGTGAGCTGGGGGAAGAAAAGAGGAGATGCCAGCATGGGGAAGCTCAGCTCACCATCACCACCCTGAAGTGGGTGTTCCTGTGTCTCAGCTCCAGTCAGGGTGGGTAAGATGGAGACCCCTGCTCTGAGGACATGCTCCTGCCTGACTCACATATTGAGGAAGCCTTTAAATAGTGTTTATTCTACCAGAAATTAAAAAGAAAAAAGAAAATCCAAGAATAACCTTGTGCATTTTCAGATACTGTCTTAATACGTAGCTATCCTCCTGCCTCAGCAGATTTCAGTTGTGTACCACCATGCCAGGAAAAATTAAAAACTAAATATGATTCAATTTAAAGTTTCTCATTAAATTCTTGTTTTAAGCAAATAAACACACTAGGGTGCAATGACGGGAGAATACAGTGTATAACATTATTTTAAATTAATTTTTGCAAAGAAAATGTTTGCAACAAGAATAAACCAGAATCTACAAAGAAACACAATATACATTTCAAAATAATCCCAAATTTAGGAACTGTCAAGTTAGGTCATTCTGATCAAGCCATGGCTATCTGGAATGTCAAGGAAGAACTGGGGACACAGTGCGCTCCTGCTTACTGTGGGGCATCATACAGCAACGAAGTCTGGATCCTAACACAAAGATCTACTGCAGTTTAACCTGCTGGCACCAGCAGCTGCCTGGGCAGCTGACACCGCTCTGCTCCACTGCGCCCCCTACTGGTGGAGGCTGAAAGTTTGCAACAGGAGGCAGAACTCTCCCTACAATGATTCCACAAGATTGGCACCTGCAAATGCCCTGCCAGCTGCCAGCTGAAGCTGTCACAGGAAGTGTAGGAAAGGAATGGACTGGCACATCCATGTCCAGCTGTGCCTCTGCTCCAGGGCGCTCCTCCATCATTCAAAGCCCCTTGGCAGCGGCATCCACTCAGACTGCTGGACCAGGTTCAAGCCTTCCCTATAGAGCCCACACTTCTATGAAGAACCTTACAGTGAACCAGGCCGCCCAGAACTGCCCATCGGGGGACACCTTTTCGAGATATCCACTGGAGAGTCACCAGACATCTGTCACTCAGACAGACTGGCTTCCCAGGGACTCCCACTGCAGGTATCTACATGGGTGGTTAGAAGAGAAGCTCCCAAGTGGCAGAGGGACAGCACTAAAAGGGGTGTCTGGGCTGCAGCACTCTCTGGAGGGCACATGGAATCTGGATGCCACCGCCAAGCCTGTGTCCTTGCCTGTCCCCTGTCTGGGCCAAGGTAGATACCTTGACCCCAAAGAAAAGTGCACAGAAAGAGCCAGAACAAGCAGTGGTTGCCCACAGTCACTGGGCACCTGAGGCGTAACTCTAGACCAGATATGTCCTCAGAGGGCAGGACGGAAGCAAAGAATAACAAAATACATTCACTTCTTTTCCTATACTTTTCAGCTACAGGCAATGGAAGGTTTGAAACAATGGGAACAGGACACCGTGTTCAGGAGCTGCCCAGGGGCACAGCAAAGGGCCCACCTGCCTCCTTCAGGAGGGCCCTGCCTTCCCCAGCAAGGACAGGACAGGGCCTGGCCTCTAACACCCAGTGTTATTCTCTTATTCGAGATGGGGGTGGTGACATCATACTGGGAACTGGGCTAGCCTACAGGGCACAGTCCCCTCCTTCCAGCCTGGCCACATCCACTAAAGAATCAAGCAGCTTTTAAACACTGGGCTCTCCCAACGAGAAGAGAAGGACACCGCTTCATTTCCAAATACATCATTTCATGACTAAGCTACGGAAAGGGAAAACAAAAGCCAATTCTGATCTGGATACCAGGGGACCAGAGCCGGTGCCTACAAGCAGGCTGCAGATGTTTCTTCTTAGTGACAAGCCTGGGCCACAGCCACTGTTCCTTCTCACACAAAACAATTCAGACCACAGCTAAATTCAGAATTTGAGAGAAAGTCCTCGTGAGGAGAGAGCACTCACCCCACTGTGTAAGCAAGAAAGGGTCCTCCCCAGACCATTAGCTCAGGGCTACAGTCAAGAGCCAAAGCTTTCCTGGTGTGGTTGCAGACGGTAGTCATGAAGACCCCAACACACATACTGCCTATGCCAGCCCTTACCCTTTATTGTGTGTGCATGTGTGAAGCCAGAGGTCAACATCTGGGGTCTACTGCTCTCCACTTCTTGTTTTGAGGCAGGGTCTCTCCTTATTGAAACCAGAGCTTACCAGGTGAAAAGATCAGCTAGCAGGAGAGCCTCAGGGGTCTTCCTGTTCCCACTTCCCTAGTTTTAGGTCTCCAGTGCACACTGCATGATTACACGTAGGTGCTAGGAGCTAAACTCAGTTCTTCCTGTATGCATGGCAAGTCCACTACCCACTGGGCCATCTCTTCCATCCATTCTCAACATTCTGAGAGGAAAAAGAAAGTTTTCCTCACTGCTGGCAAAGTGGTGCTCCTTGCTCTCTGTGAGGCAGTGATGGGCTTTTTCTGTGACATAGGGGAATGTGGTTGTCCCTCCTGACTGCTAGCCATGGCTCTCCTCTTTCTGGTCAGCAAAATGGGTTCAGAGGCTGACACTGGGACCAGGAAACATATGCCAGAGAGCTAGCTAAACCTGGCTTAGGATACTGATAAGATAATTTTTTATTATATTTATTGTGTGTGTGTGCGTGTGTGTAAGAGAGAACAACTCACAGGAACGAGGCCTCCGCCTCAACCATGTGTGACACTCTGGCTGTCAGGCAGGACAATAGGTAGCCTTACCTGCTGAGCCATCCTGCAGCTGTTGACCAGAAAGATGGGAAGCTCAGAATGTGGACTAGGGAGGAAGCTGAGGCAGACTAGTGTACGTCCATGTGGACCAGTGTCTCCTGCATCTAGGGCATTCTAATGGGGGAAGGGAAACAGTGGACTATGTTAAGATGGCTGTGGCTCTCAGAAGCCCCTCTATGGGCTGCAGCCTGGCACCCTGGGGAACCTATGCCAACATAGGGGCCACATGGTGGTCCTCACCTCTTCCAGTCTCCTAGGCAGTGGCCTCTCAGAAGAGGCAAATGTCACAAACTGAGGGACAGGAAAATGGGTGTGGGTGCTGAGATGAGACATAAATAAGAGCCCCACTCACAGCTATGACTTAGGGACTCCAAATTCCAGGATGGATAGCCAGGAGAGCCACAGTTGAGCAATGGAAATGGAACATGTCACAGTCACCTGCAGGAGTCTAAGGGCTGCCCCTGCACCCACAATGCCAATATGCTCTCTATAGGAGCAGGACTTCCAAGGAGGCAGAGTTAGCTGATTTCACATAAGGGCCTCTCATCCCTCAGCATATGGTAGGCACAGAATACAGAAATCGGGGGAGGACACACTGGTAAAGTATGTCACCATGGGATAGGTGCCACCCCTGCCCCTCCTTCCCTGTCCGTACAAACAGCAGTGTACTGTGCCCAGCAGCATGCGGCAAGTGCAGTGCCAACCAGCAGTGCTGCAGGGCTGGGTGAGTTCCCACAAGTCCAGTGTGGCAACCTTCCCTGAACTTCCCAAGCCACCGCAGGCTCAACAGCTGACCCCATGTTAGTTTCCCAGAAGTTGGTCCCAAGTTACAGGAACTCCTGCTGACACCCAGAAGACTTGCAGGGTTCCCAGAATGTTTGGGGCCCTGAAAAGGTCCCTGTCACAGTGACTACATGCTTGCGTGCGTACCCAAGCATGAGAATATGGAACCCTCCCACACAGTCCAATAGCTGCATAAGTCCGACATCCTCGGAGACACCAAGAGCAGCAGAGACACACAGAAACTCTAATGCAGGAAAAGGGTAAGACCAGATGGCAAAGAAGATATTTGGCATAATTCTTCCAGATGCCAAGACCTAACTCAATTTTAAAAACAGTGCCACCACAGGCCTCTTCTCAGCTCAATCCGGGTTCTGGGGGCAGTGGCAGCCAGTGGCCAACAGAAGGCTCCACAGGCAGCAGGCTTGCCTGTTCCACCCACCTTCCACATACCTGTGAGTCAACAGGAGGCAGTCAGGAGGCCTTGGGGAGGAAGGGGCCATGTTTCTGAATCACATTTCTGTGACTGCTTTGTTATTATTATTTTTAAAAAAAACAAACCATGATGGCACATTTTTAGGATTGAGACCGGCTGAGATCCAACCCTCGGGGGAAACAAAATGTCAAGTTTCAGTCATGGCTCTAAGGCAGACGTTACAGCTTTCAGGGGGATGGAAACGGAGACCCCAGCACACTGTGTGTTGGGGTGAGTGCACGGCCATCACAGCGCCGTGGCCTGCACGACGATCTCGGGGTCCTCGATGTCCTTTCTGCTCTGGACCATCCTCAGCTCCAGCTGGGCTGGGCTGGGCTTCTGTCCTGCTCCTGCTTGAGCTGAGGAACACAGACAAGATTAGAGCGGGTGGGAGGCGGCCTGAGGCCTCCCTCCCCTTCCCCACACTGCAGCTCCCCCTTCAGAAGGTGCTCCACACTGCCACCTGCTGCCTCACTACTAACAGCAGCAGGATGCAGAGGCTGGAGGGAGGGCTGTTCCCCATCTCCTGCCCACCTCCAGACAGGGCCACCTCCCAGGAAGGCAGAGCAGGAGGGCAGGTACCTTTTGCACACCGGATGGTCCTCTGCAGCACGTGTTGCATGGCAGACACAGTTTTCTCGCAGGCCACCTGCACAGAGGACAGAGACGCTGCCTTGGCCTACCTGGGCGAGCATCGCTGTCCAGGACATCCCACAAGCACCAGCTGCTCCAGTCAGAGAGCTGCTCCTCTGTCACTCACACTGGACACAGCTGGATACCATGGGGGTGACTGCATGAACTCCCATAGAAATGCTTCTGCACTAGCCTGTGCCTGGAATGTCCCTCAAAGCCCATGCTAGAGGAGAGCCCTCTGCCTAGGAGGGGAATATCAGCTTCTGGAAGTGAGGCCTGGTACAAGGTCCTTAGGTTATTGAGGGTGGCTCCTGGAAGGGGATGGTGTAGCTTATCTCCTTCCTGTTTGCTTTCTGGATCCCACCCTGATGCACAGCCACAGGAACAAGGCCGTCTCACCGTAGACAGAAAGCTTCCCTCTTTGTAAATGGTCTCAGGTATTTTGTTATAATAGTGGAGAGAGAGCCAAGCAGATGCTGCCTGTTAAATAAACCACTTGGGTGTGGAGGGAGGTGCATCATGGGAAGGGTTAGTAGCTTGAGACTTGTCGGTATTGGGCACACCTGGCACACAGCAGGTGTTTAATAAGAATTCCTGGGAGTGATTAGTTTTAAAGACTATAAGGGAAAGCACTGCTGCCCACGACTCTCAAGACCAGAGCCTGGGGGACTCAGCAGGTGCCCAGACATGCCTCAGTTCCCTACATGGGTTGGCTGAACCAGGCCTTGCCTTGGGAATCCCACTGTTAGGTTCCTCTGGGTGCCAGCTGGCAAGTTTCTGCTGCCCCGAACAAAATGAACCTCCACTGCTGCCAATTACACCTGCAGAAGGCAGGAGGCAGAGAGCCAGTGGAGGGAAATGGAAGTGAGGCTTTTAGACTTAAATTTAGTTTTCAGGGGACTTGACACGCGAGAGCCCATCTCCCTTTCCATCATATAAGCAAGGAGTCAGATACGAAGTCAGAGTGGACTGGGTAGTGGGACAGCATGGAGGAACCCACGTCCAGGTTCCCACATCCAACTGTCTCCCCTAAATGTCAGCCTTTCTTCTCCCCTTTGTCCAGTCTAACGTAAGGAAACCTTCACTCAGCTGTCAACCCTGGCACACACATCAAGTCTGTGGGCAGACTGCAGGGCTGGGGCCGTCTACAATGGGGCAGGGGTTATTCCATCTTTTCGTTTCCTTTTTGTGTTTGTTATACTGGGATGGAACCCAGGCCTTATATGTGCTAAGAAAGTGTTCTGCCCTATGGTAGTCTGAATGTAATTGGCCCCCATAATCTCACAAGGAATGGTAGTATTAGGAGATGTGGCATTTTTGGAGTGGGCATGGCTTGTTCGAGGAAGTGTGTCAATGTTTGGACAGGCTTTGAGGCTTCCTTTGCTCAGAATACTGCCCGGTATGTCAGTCAACTTCCTGTTGTCTGCAAGATGTAGCTTTCTCAGCTCCAGCACCATGTCTACCTGCATGCTGCCATACTCCCCATCACGATGATAGTGAACTGAACCTATAAAGCATGAGCAAGCCACCCCAATCGAAGCTTTTCTTTATAAGAGTTGCCATGGTCACGGTGTCTCTTCACGGCAATAGAAACCCTAACTAAGACAACCACTGAACCGTACCCCAAGTCCTTGTACTCTGTCTGCAACAGCACTGGAGGAAGACATGCTGGCTGTCAGCTGGTAGGCATCAGCAGAAACGACCTGCTAATTGGTCACCATACAGCTTTTATCCACACAGGTCAGATCACAGATACAAGGGGACAGCCATAAGAAAACTCCTCTGAACCTGCTGAGCCCCATCCTCAAATGCATATTCACATAAAAGCTCCATCCCTGATCCCCAAGACCCAGCACAGTCCCATTGGAGCTCTGCATGGGGCTTAGTTGGTGGAGTGCCTACCTAGTACAGACTTGGTCCCAGTTGGTCCACTCCGCTGAGGAGCATCTGAACAAGAGCAACCTATCTGCTCATAAGTGCATGAAGCAGGTGGATGGACATACAGACAACCATAGAAAGACCCACCTCCGTGACAGGCCTGATGGGGAAGGGCCTACCTCAGCCTGCATCCTCAACCTTCTGCCCTTGGTCTCCCAAGGCTATGTCTATCAAGTCAGGCAATGGCTACATAGCAGGAAACATCCTGAACTGGGCTGAGCACTCAAAGTGGCTTCTGAGTCCACATGAGATACATGGCCCAGGACTCCTCACTGACTCCTGTATAGATGCTAGCTTTTGTTCCCACCACAGCTGAGTCTCAAACCGCAGGCCTCCGTATGCTACATCCATGCATACAGCTCCTCATTGTTTCTAACTTTCAAATTCAACTCCCTGATGCCTTGGCTCCTGTGTCAACAGTTGCTAAACCAGGGAAGAGTGGGCAACAAGACTGACAGGATGGGTGTCTTAGGGCTTCTATTGCTGCCATGAAACACCATGACCAAAATCAACTTGGGGAGGAAAGGGTTTATTCCCTTTACACTTTCACATCATTGCTCATCATGGAAAGAAGGCAGGACAAGAATTCGGACAAGGCAGGATCCTGGAGGCAGGAGTTGATGCAGAGGCCATGGAGGGTGCTGCTTACTGGCTTGTTCAGCCTGCTTTCTAATGGACCCCAGGACCACCAGACCAGAGATGGCACCACCCATAATTGACTGGGCCTTCTCCCATCAATCACTCATTAAGAAAATGCCCTACAGTTGGATCTTATAGAGGCATTTTCTCAACTGAGGCTTCCTCCTCTCTGATGACTCTGGCTTGGGTCATGTTGACATAAGCGTGGCTGGGACAGTGGGCTTCTGAGCCCATGGTCAGCTGTATCTCCTACCGATCCTTGGCTCAAGCCCAGGCTCCCACTAAACCTGCCACCACCCCACGCTGTTGGGACCATATGAACCTATCTTCTCACCGAAAGTGCAGAGGTAGCTGTGGAGAGGAGCAACATGTACAACCAACCTTCAGATTGTCCGGGTGTTTGTGTGTCCACGCCAGAAGCATGGCAGCGAACAGGTCCCCAGTGCCCACGAAGACGGCATCCACCTTGCGCATCTCCATCCGAATGCGTTGAGTCACCGTGGAGCCGTCAGGCTTCCCTAGGGGAGGACATAAGCCAGGCCACTGGGCCTGAGACTTCTCAGCTAGACAAGGGCCACCCCTGCCATGGGAACCTGCCAGCCCAACTTGTCCCCGCTTCTCCTGATGTGACAGGAAGGCCGGCATTGTCCCTCCTTGGGGATGTCACACAGATGTGGTGTGGCCTCCTTCAGGAGCTCTGGGACTCAGTGTGGGCTGTCACAACTGACCCCTGCTGCCACCACTGTCCCAAAGTGGTGCGGGAGAATTATCTGTATTCTGTCAATCATATTTTAATAAAACGCTGATTGGCCAGGCAGGCAGTATAGGCGGGAAAGCCAGACAGGAAGTAGGGGTGGAGCAAAGAGACTGGGAGTATTCTGGAAGCAGAAGCTCTCTCAGCGACTTCTGCGCAGACCACCGAAGAGGCAACATGTAAGCTGACAGCTGAAAAAGGTACCAAGCCATGTGGCTAAGATAGATAAGGATAATGGGGTAACATAAGTTATAAGAACCAATAAGTAGCCTGACCTAATGAGCCAATCAGTTTATAATCTTATAGAGATCTCTGTGTGATTGATTTTTCTCTGGGACTTGCTGGTTGTGGGGTACCGGGCAGGAACAGATACCCCAACTAGCCGGCCCCTCATATTACACCAAAGGGAAGTGAAACACTGGACTCTTAGAAGCTGGAACTAGCATGGCCTTACACACTCGGATTGCCAGGAACTGCCTGGATACACTCTGTGTGTGTGTGTGTGTGTGTGTGTGTGTGTGTGTGTGTGTGTGTGT